AGCCCCCGCGCACGCCGCCGCGCTCCGCCCCGCCACCGAGTCCCCGCCGGGCGAGAGCGGCTCCACATCCGGGTACCGCCGCGTCCGGGCCCGAGTGGCGCCTCGTGAGGGACTGCGAGGTGCTCCTCGGCCAGGACCAGGATAGAGGGCTTGGGGCAGTCGCGCGATCCAAGAAAGAAAGAGGAGGAAACGGCTCCCTAAGCGGTCCTGGGGCGCAGAGGGAGTGCGCATGCGCGCGACCGGGCCCTGGGAGACCGAACGCCCCGCTTCCCATTGGCTGCGTGGACGAAGGCCTGGAAGTGGGGCTGAGGGAAGTGTGGGGCGGCTGCGCGCCCGCTGCGGCTCCGCTCAGGTGAGTGCTGGTGTTCTCAAGTACGCTGGGTTTGAATTGAGGATTGCATACTGTTTGGGGCTTCCTTTTTAAAGGGAGCGAGAGTAGGGCTGATGACAACGTAGATTAAAAGTGATGAATAGTCCCTGTACAAATTACAATCATCTTAAACCATAGTCGGTGACTGTGGGGTGTTTTTAAGTCTTTGGAATGTTGTGCTTGCCTTCCTGCAGAGTCCACTCTGAATACGATTGTATTTATTATGACATGTATTTAAATTGGCTTTTGGAAGGTGTTATACGGATTGAACATAGGCTCTTTCTCATACTAAGCACATTATGTTCTACCACTAAATTACAGTTACACCCAGCCTCTGGACTTTTAGTGCCTTACCTTCGAGGATTTTGTTTGAAAGAGAATTCTCTATGTAGTCCAGTCTGGCCTGGGCCTGGAGACTCGCTGCCTCCACTCTCAAACTGCACCACCACACCCAGGAAATTACAGAAATTTTTAATAGCACTTTATTTTCCAATTTCATTTCCCACACCTGTAACTCAGCATTTGGGAGACTGTAGGCAACAGAGGGTAAATCGTTGGCCAGTCTAGGCTACTTACTGAGACTATGTCTAAAAAAACAAGCAGATAAAACCAAGAATTTTACTTTACCTTAAATGAATAGCTGCACTTTCTTAAAGTGGGAAGGCGTTTAAGAGGTAATCTAAGCTAGTGGTTCTCTTTGAAGGAGAGTGGCTGTTTACAACAGCATCTAATGAGGCCCAGGATGGCCTCAGAAGTCCCTAAAGATAGGTAATATAGCCACATTGTTCATGTTACTGTTGGGTCCAGGTGGCTTGCGCAAAGATGAGACCACCACCAAGTCGAATAAACCAGAAACAAACTTTATTCCAGAAACCAGATCCCAAGAAAGCCAGAAGCAAACTTAAAAATAAAAAAAATAAAAAACAAAAAAACACCGCGGGGCACAGAAGCTTATCAGCTTGCTGAGACCACAGCCAGAGATGGTGTTTGTTAGGCTGTAGCAAAAGAGTTTCTGAACCCACTTTTTATAGTAGGGGCACCAGGCATTAGATCTGAACAAAGAAATTTTTATGATCTTGCCCCAACCCGCGGATCAATCAATGTAGACCTAAGGAGGGTGGTGAGGTCTAACATTCATGGGTAACTAGGCAGCTATCATGAAATATGTTTTAGATTACAGTGAAAGTCATCAATTGCAAGAAAACAGGTGTCTTTAGCAATTAGAAAAGGGACTGCTAGTAATAGCAGAGGGTTAATAAATCAGAATAATTGGTTCTTAGGCTGGAAACTGAGAAGATAGCAGAAAACTTGCCACACTATCTCAAGGTAAAACTCAGATACATACTGCCATACTTTACAACCTCTATTATTAGAGCTTATTAGTCAAACCCATGTTTTTACCTTGTCCACCATGTCTCCTGGTACCTCCAGGCATGTATACTGGAGCCCCATGCCTCGCCTTTAATGGTGCCAGTTTCCCATAATGGAGACAGTGCCTAACCCAGAGGTCAGTATCTCTGTCTTCTAAAGGTTGACTCAGTTCATATCTGTCGTTCATCAAGGATGGCCAGGACACTACTCTCAGTTTACAGAGAGAAGCTCCAGCCTTGTAAATAGAACAGCCAGTTGTAAAATGAAATGACCTAGGCTGATGGAGGCTTCTTAAATATCTGAGAAAATAGCTCACTGTGAATAATTGATCCTTGATCTGCTGAGAAAGCTGCTGACAGTCTGTTCTCATTCCCCTAGACTTATAACTTTATAATTCTTTATCTCTACATTCTTATTTCTGAAATCTATATTTTTATTTTCTTATTCTTGGATTCTTCAGTTACCCCATAAAATAGACATTATAAAAAGAATTTTTTAATCTTTAGAAAAGTTTTCATGATCTTTCTCAACCTAGATCACATCCTAAGATGTTTATATTGGTATTTTCCAAAGTTGATGTGAATCATCATGGAAACCCACTGTATCAGACACAGATCTGTCATATGTATAACATACACAGGTCTGTCATGTATATAATGCAATTGTTTTACACATAAGTTTACCTTACATCCATTTTTTAGGAAATATTTGGTGCCATCCAAAACTTACACCTGTGGTTAGAAGAGATTACTTCTAACAACAGGTAAGATAAATAAACCCTGCAAGCACTCTGAAGGCAGAAGCAAGTGAGTGGTTTCTTCCACAGAGATGCAAGGATTCGTGCTGTTGCTCCTTTGTCCCCTCAGACTGCTGACGGAGGGAGAAGAGCGAGGGGCAGAGCTCCTGAGATCCTTACTCCAGATACCACATGTCGCAGTCCATCCTGTAGGACTCAGGACACCTATGTGAAAGGGAGGGCAAACGTAGTCTAGCTGAGTGCTATGTGCAGTTATCACTATTCACTTCTGAAAATACAAATCTCTCTTAAGTAGTCCAACAGCAGAAAATATAGCAAACTGACTTCAAAAAGTGTTGGGTGAGTGGCAGAAGTGAAGCGATACCATGCCTTAGTACTAGAGAAGAAAAAAAAAAGCATGGTATAGAGTTGGGATAATCTTTTTGTACACTGTGTAAAGATGTGTCTGTCTTTCCTCACCTGCCTAAGGTACCTTCTGATTGGTTTAATAAAGAGATGAACAGCCAATATTTACACAGGAGAGGATAGATGGGACTTCTGGGGAGACATAGGAACTCTGGAAAAGAATTGGAAGTGTAGGAGATTCACCAGTCAGATGGGGAGGAAGTAGAACATATGGTACTGATAGGTAACCAGCCACATGGCAGAACATAGATTAATATAAGTGGACTAATTTAAGTTTTAAGAGCTAGTTGGGAACAAAACTAAGCTAAGACCAAGCTTTCATAATTAATAAAAAAGTCTCCATGTCATTATTAGAGAGCTAGCGATATAAGGAAAGGCCTGTTACAGGATAGGAACCACATGACATGTCATTGAAGCTGACTGAGTAAATTCTGCTGTTGTTGAAACTATGGCTATTTTGCAACCAACCCAGAGTCCCTTATTCACACTAGCCTGAGAAAAGGAGCCCAATACCACCTTCTACTGTCACTGCCCCTAGCAGAGACAGAGCGTGTGAGTACAGGACACCCTGATCCTGAAGCTGCTGAAACTGGCTTGCCTGTGTAGGTATCCAGACACTGCCAAAAACTCCCTATATTAGTTTCCTTTCTATTGCTGTAATAAAACGCCATGACCAACGTAACTTACAGAAGTAAGAGTTTATTTGGGCTTACAGGACACCATGACAACAGTTGACCATCATGATACCTGGAACACAACACTGAGAGCTAAGGACTCACATCCCAAACTGCAAGCAGTAAGCAGAGACCAAATTTGAAATGACATAAATCTTTAAATTTGCAACACCCACCTCCAGCGACACCCCTCCAACAAGGCCACACCTCCTAAGCCTCCCCAAACAGCACCATCAACTGAGGGCCAGCAGCATTTAAACCACCACAGCTGCAGCTTCCCTTATAAGTAACAAAGGGGACCTGCTGTTTCAGGTGTTCAGCAGCATTGTGACCCCTCTACCAAACTTACAATTCCATTTAACAGAAGTGTCATCATACATTCTTCCCAGTGACATCTTCCAAGAGTGTGGAGGCAGAGTCTGAGGTTCCTGGGCTACCAGCACTGTGCTGCTCACCACTGTGCACACTGCTTGGTGACTGTACTAGTCAGTTCTGTAGAGGAACAGAATTGATTGAATGAGCATGAGTGTGTGAGTATGTGTGTGATTTATTAGAATGGCTTGCAGGTCCCCGTAGTCTCATGTGTGTGACTGTGTGGTCCTCAGTTAGTGGAACTGTTTGAGAAGTGTTAGGAGGTGCAATCTTGTTGGAGGAAGTGTGTTACTGGGAGTGTGCTTTGAAGTTTCAAAATCTCATGCTAGGCCTAATCCGTCTCTCTCTGTCTTCAACTTATGGATCAGATGTGAGCCCTCAGCTACTGCCCCAGTGCCATTTTGCCTGCCTACTGCCATGCTCCTCAACTCTGAAACTGTAAGCAGGCCCACAAATGCTTCCTTTTATAAGTTGCCTTAGTCATGATGTTTTAATCACAGCAATAGAACAATAACGGAAACACCCAGTCTTAAAAGAAAACAAGAAGAAGCTCTCAGAAAGTAAAGAAGTAAGTAAAATTGGATACCTAGAATCACTATATTCTATTGGAACCAAAACTGGGTTAATCATAGCTCCCTAAGCTAC